CCTCCACCGGGTTTGTTACCGCCACCACCCCCTCCCCCGCCTCCACCGCCCCCACCACCTCCCCAACCTCCATTCCAGCCCCACCTTCCTCTACCACCACATTTGTTTCTCCACTTTATCCACCGTTCCGCAGGCTGGTCAATCTCCTTTTCCTCCCTTTCTACTTCGTTGGTAGCCATTTTCTCAAGCAGGGCCTCCTTCCTTCGCTCCAGAGGGGCAGACACCTCGTCGACTTTTTTCTTGTCATCTGGACTGTTGCCTTCCTCATGAGGAATTCTTTTCTGTGAGGAAGAAGCGATTTTTGCCCCCGTCACTGCATGCTACATCTCCAACTTTTGTTGACCCCATTTCATTTTGTTCACAGAAGTGCTATTTGTGTTACTTTTCTTGACCTGACGCAGTGCCAGGAAAAATTACAGTAATACATGTCCCTTTAGTGCCACGTATTAAGCCACAGCCGTATGGGAAGCCCTAAAATGCGTGAATTTTTTAAGTATTCATGCACTCAAGCTGAAGCTCAGATTGTCAGTACTTCGGTACACAACCTTGAGGCATTTTTCTTTTTTTTTCCCTTTTTATTTCCCTTTTTTGTGAATGATAATAAATATTTGTTTATATATCTGTTCACCCGGCAACCGACTCGCGACCTATACAGTGTGTAAATGTTAAAGGGTTACATCGATAACCCGATTTGCGCAAACACTTTAGAGTTTCTGAACACCCCCAGATAGTAAGCGTAGTTGGTGTGAACTGTCTAATCTGTCTTGCTAACGTGCAACCCTTGCCCAACCCTAAACTCCCTCTTTGCACGATTGTCATCGATCACATGGCAATAAAAGACCGATGTTTGCTTTCCTTTGAGTGGCCCTGACAAAGCATGTTGCGGGTGTGGTGTTTGACTCTTGCACGACTGATTCAAACAAACCTTTCTTCCTCTAGAAAAATAGACGTCCATATTTGTCACTGATTTTTCAGCTGAGCACATTGCAAATGTTACTTAAATCATAAAGAAGCAAATTCCAAACATCCAATTTCTGAACGGCCAAACTTAAGCAAAACTTTAAATAGTTAATAATCAATAATTCTTAAAGGCCCTGATTTCATTAAATAATCGCCTGTGATGATATTAATCACTAACATTTAGTGATAACGTTTTCAAACCATCTAAATTGGAGACAATTGGTAATGAATTGGAGAAAGTCATTGACAAAAGAATGTGCTTTTCGCTGGTTGCCTGTATTGAATATGTCGTTTGTATCGTATCGCACACCAATTTTTCTTTACATACTTTAGTCTGGTGTACGCTTTTTGGTAACATCAAACATATCTAACTTGTAAAAAGGGGCATGATGTATGTTTTCTTGAAAGCGCTAACACCAAATGGTACTAGTAACTGCCTTCGCAAAGAAGGGCATTATATTATCGATACAAAAATTTAGTCATTTCAGGATTAAAACTCGACTGGATACCTGGATACGCCACTGACTGTGTACCATTTATAGGGAATTATTATTTCGAACGCCAAAAACCATTCAGATGTGAAAATGAAGCCTTTCCTGAGTTTTCCGAGCATTAAAAAAGGGGTATTTCTCCTCTTTTCTTTCTAATCTTATCCCTGGCTTTTTCAAATTGAAGGCAACTATGTTTTTTTCTGTAACAAAATCAATTAACTTACGAAAACATTCGAGTTTGTCTCGACCTCTTCCAGCTCGCCCTCCGAACGCTTTGCGACGGGCCTCGGTAAAACACCGGTGCATAGGCAAAGGACCACCAGGACTACAGCGAGTGCCAAACGGGGCAGCGCCGCTGGGAACCCCATCGTGGACCACGGTGACTCTGCTGAGAATTTCCCGGTGCAGGGTCTCTTTACTTTTTGGTTTCTTTCGTATCAGCTGATGATCTTGCAGGGTGAAAGACTGAGACAAGCCTGGAGTGAGCTGGAGGTCGTCAAAAGTTCCCAGTATTTATAGATTTCTTTAGGACGAGATATTAGTCTTTGGCAAATGCTGGGCCTGATTGGCATGACCTGTTCCCCTTCATATTTACTTTAACTCCAGGTTTTTTAAGTTAAATGGTGATCACAATCTTTACTGCATACCATAAATCAGCAATCAGGCTGCCTTGCATTAATCGGCTAAGTCATCTCTGTTTTGCTGGCCACAAGGCAAAGTTGATTTTTTTTCGTTATGTATCCAGGTTTAGAGTCCGGGGAACAAAAGAGAATTTTTTTTCCTGTAAAAATTGGCAAATTGTTTTTCACATCCATAAAACACGGCCAATACTTCGAAGGAAGGTGAAAGATTCAGTCGTAGAGTGTAGGCGCTTTCCTAGAGACATTTGCATTGTGTTCCCTGGGGGCATTTTGCCCTCCATCCAATCCCACTCCATTCCCCACCCCCACCACCGGTCTTTTCCTAACAATTATGCTGGTTACGGCGCAGCGAGGTTGCACTCTTTCTTTTGTCTAATGGCTGTTTAAGTGGAATTAATTTTTTTCCATTTTGAATATCTCCTTTCAAAGGAAATCATGCCTGTTCAAATCCCACCTGTTCCTTCAGAACAAGTTAGTTCCCAATGATCATGCTAGAAAAGACTGTCCAACCAACCCTGATTGACACCCCCATAAATCAGTTTCCTTGGCAACTCAAACAAAGTCCTTGAGATCTGAGGGTTTTTTGGTTGTTTTTTTTTTTTTTTACTTTGGTGTTGAAGAGCAACTGCAATATTCTTGACATTTAGCGAGTAGAAAATCACAGATAATATTGTGCCAAATCTTGAGGTCTCTTATATTAATTCTTGTGTGTTACTCTTGCATCCTCTGGCTCGGTCTTTTCAACCAGTCACCAATCGCGACGTTGTTTGGTGTGGTTGTCATTTTTTATTAAAAAAAGATAGTGACGTCCTCTTTTCTCCTGTAAATAAAATCTTGTTGCTGATCGCCAACGATGTACTACCGTTGATGTTTATAGATCACGACACTTTTCTATTAACGTGCGAGTCCAGCTGAATTCATGCGTTTTGATCAAACCTTTTCATCGTTTGTCGGTCTACAAGGCCCAAAGGGTAAATCCGATGAGAAACGGGTAAAAAATTCCCAACTTTCCCCTTGGCATCATCATCATCAATCAACATCATCACAGTGAAATATTAAACTCCGCGACACTCATAACATTATTTTTATATTTCGCACGCTTTTTAGTTTATTATGAAAAGCTACCAAGAAAAAATAATATTTTTTTACGAAAGACTGTACTTTAAACCAAATATTATTAACACTTAATTGACACTTAACATTTCAGATCGTTAATAAAGTCTACTTGCAGTAAAGGAGCCTGATAAATTACAGTTTGGAATTTTATCTACTGGCAACTTTTAGGATCGAAATTCTGGAATTGGCTTCACGTTTATTACTAATGCAAATTGTATCAAAGAATCTCCTCGGTGAACCAACATTGCAATCTCTAACTTTTGACACTAATTAGCATGAAACGAGAGCATGAAACGATCCCTTTGAAGTACAGACATTCTGTGCATGTAAGGCGTGGGTTGTAAATCTTAAGTCCTAAAACCTAGTCCTAAAACTTGCTCAGAAAGTGTGCTCTTGAATCAGACTTTTCTTAACTACCTAGAGCAGGAGAACAACGTCCTTGTGACCATTCTAATAGTATCTTTTCATTACCTTTGACTGAAATAAGAATGGTAGATTTGTCTTTTACGCAGATATTTCCATAATATCACTCTGTAAATCCATCTTTGAATATTCCTGACAGTTTTTGACAAATTTTAAAAGGAAACGATATTTTGATTTCTGATAATGGAATTACACACCATCTTACACACCGACATTACCACCATCTGCCGTGATTCCATCCCCCACCTCCGCCACCACCTCCTCCCCCACCACCTCCCCCACCACCG